ATGTCCCAACAATCTGATTCTTTGAGACTTGACGAACTTGGTAATGGTTGGTTCTTTATATAAAGCCATTAATTGATTGTTGGTTCTTCTCTCCCAACCATCTTCTGTCTTCCGTCCTCCGAATATGCGTCTTAATAGTTTCCTTTCCCATCTTTTCAGAGTATCCTCTTCCTTCTTATTTAATATCCATGTCTCACCGGCATATGTTACTGTGGGTCGAATTACGGTTTTAAATATTCTGAGTTTACCTTGTCTAGAAACGTATGTTAAGTTCAGTAGGGCTCTTAAACTACCTAATTTTTTATTCCCTTTTGCTATTCTGGCTTCCAGCTCCCATTTCTCTTTTCCATTTTCATCGAAAACTACACCCAAGTATTTAAATTTGTCCACTCTTTAAAAACTATTGCCACTTACAGACCTCACACTAAAGTCTTCTTTTTTCCTTTCTGTCCCTCCCATGATCATATATTCGGTTTTGCTTTCATTCAGTTCCAATGTTTCTCACAGAATGTCTGTGCTTCTTTGATGATTTTCTTCACAACACTTAAGCAAACACATCAGCAAATGCCAAGCACTGTTGCTCATTTTTCATGATTTTTTCTTTTACCTTCATGTTGCATTTTCTGATTACCGTTTCTAACACTAAGTTGAATAATGTAGTGGATAAAGGATCTCCCTGTCTCAAGCCTTTTGCAACCGTAAATTAATCTGATATGTGACCCTGCCAAGCAATTTTACACTTTAAAGTGAGTTATTAAATGTCATTTTTACTAGCCAGATCAGTTTCTTTGGTATACCCAAATGTTCCATTGCTCGATACATTTTGAATGTATCGACTCTATCATATGCTTGTCTAAAATCAACAAACAAAACATGCAGGGAAACTTTACTTTTATAACAAGTCATTTGTATCTCCTTTAATGGGAAGATTTGGTCTACAGTAGATCTGTCCTTTCTAAAGCCGGCCTGATACATATATGGGATTCTTTCCGTGTAGCAATTTAGTTTATTTCTCAATATTCTTGCCAAGATTTTGTATACCGTGTCAGTTGTCTATACTAGTATACTATAGTTGTCACACTTCTGTTTGTCTCCTTTTTTATGCAGAGGGCATATGCGGGCCTCATACCACTTCAATGGCATTATTTCCTTTTTCCATACTTGCACTAGTAGCTGATATATTTTTCTTTGTAGTTCTTCAGCACCAAACTTGATCATTTCTATGCATATGTCATTTTTACCAGGACTTCTGTTATTTTTCATTTCTTGTATTGCTGTCACCACCTCCTCCTCTGTAGGCTGCCTTTCAACTTTCGCATCTTCTCCAACCGTCCAGATGTCTACTTCTTCGTGGTCCACCTCACCATTTAATAATTCTTCAAAATGTTTTTTCCATTTCGTCATTATTTCTGCCGGATCGCGAAATGCGGATTGGTACCAGAAAAATAAACTCGGGAGCAGATACTGAGCACCAGACAGATAATAGAAAAATCGAGAGAACACAACATACATAATATGCTGTTCTGTATCGTAGATTACACAAAGGCTTTCGATTCTATAAAATGGAATTCTCTCTCAAGTATAATGGAAAATATATACGCACCTAACCATCTGGTTAACTTAATAAGAAATCTGTATGATAAAAACTATAAGTACACGAAATATTCAGATGCGTTCAAAACAAAGAAAGGAACTAGACAGGGCTGAATACTATCACCACTATTATACATCATACGTTCTGAATATATATTGAGAAAAATTGACGGTTGGAATGAAGCAACCTGAAATACGCAGATAATACACTCATATTAACAGCGAATGAAGTCGAAATGACTACCATCACTGAAAGGCTAGATCAACACTGGAAAACCAAAAATAATGATTTTAGATAAAACAAATAATAATCTACCGCACATACACCAAGTCGCGAATTCAGAAGTGGTAGACAGATTTGTATCTCCAACACTATGGGCAGACTAAATGTAAACTCTGATGGAAAAATCTTTACATGAAGATGTCCACATGGCACAGGACCGCAGCCAATGAAGGCAGCAAGCCAATAATTTTGAGAATGTTTCCACGAACTGATAAAAGCTCAAGAAATGAGGAGAAGGAGGATCATTCTTGATAATTCCATTGCCTTTTCCAATAGCATAAGTAAACAAGGGGCAGCGTTTTAGAAAATTTCCGTATATTTTTAGTCAATAAAGTTTTTGTCCATACTTTCTATATCACTAAAAATAATCAAAAAATTAATGTCCTGGAAACCCTGTAACTTAATTACTGTTAGTTAGAACGTTATTTATTAGTTGTTTACTATTATGTTTATAGCTTTTTTACTATAAAATTACTGTTAAAGCAGGTAATAAAAAATCTTGTACGTAAGGTTTTACATTAAAGACTGTATCTAAATATCATATTTTCTTTGATGATTTCACTATTTTAGGAATCGTATATTACACATTTCTTTTATTGTTGGAATGCGCGAGACGTCTACTACAAACACCGTCTTCAAATAATGGAATTAGTAATAAACTATGTAAAACACCCATTTAAGGTAACAGATGAAGTAATATTTATTCAAAAAGAAGCTCTTAACAAGTTTGTTTGACTAACTTAATCACGGATATTTAATTTTCCAAAGTATTAAGAGTTGCATAATATAGAAGTGATTTTATACGATGGTTATAACAGAGTTTTAATGTCCTCTGTAAAATCGTTATTAGAATTTTTTTATTAGACCAGAGAATTTAGCAAACAAAAAGCCTTTTTCGTGACACTATTTAATACAGTTGTTTTAAATTGCTTTTGATAAATTTGGTGAAAAGGTATGTAATCAACAAAATATACAGAAGATTAAACGTAACTTTTTACTTATAAATACTTAATATATATCCCACCTCCATTAAAAAAGTCACAATTCAAGAAACGTTGTTTTGAGTAAAACGATGTTAAAATATTATAAAGCAAACATAAAGAAAAACATAAAAAAACTTTTTATTTATTGTTATCAAGAGTTAAAGAATGCTGAGTACACTTTTGTAGGCCTGTTGTAAGGTACTTGGAATGGTATTGTTTTTTCTTCGGCAGGGATCTACTTGCTTGAACTCTTCATCTTTATAGGAGGTTTTATAATAGAGGGTGGTAAGATTTCTTTGATTTAACTTAAAAACCTTTACTTCAGTAACATTCAAAGATTTGATGCCTGTCATGCCTATATCGATACACAATTAATTTTTTAAGCGAATAAAAATCCAAATAACCAAATTATTTACATGGTAAGGTTCTTTCTTTTTTTGTCAAACGAATTATTTATTCATACTGACTTGGCACATAAATAGGACCAGATTTTAAACTTTTCTTTGTAGCCTTCTCAATAGTTGAATGAACAGAGTCGCCTTCATTCTGACTATGTCCACGTATCAAATATTTATGGGTTATTGGACGTATTTTTAGGGTATTTACCAGAGCATATATATATATATATATATATATATATATATATATTATATATATATATATATATATATACATAGCAATTAAAAATCTATCTTTTTGTTGGCCAAAACAATTATCTGAAAATAAAACGAAGTCAAGCCCAGCTGCATTATTAAAAGCCGGGTTTTTTTTCTATAAAATTAAGTACAGATGAACATATTTCACCACTCCCCTATATCCATGCCCTTCATGCCAAAAGTAGCATTCCGTTGAACCAGTTTTTAAATCAGACACCGAGAAGTTGTAGCAATTCAACTTCGATTTATAATAAAAAAAAACAGATACTTGCAACTAGTTCTACTACGCAACTACGCCCTTGCGGCGTAGGAAGAACTAGTTGCAAGTCATAGACTGATACAATATAATTAAGATTAGCCTTCTCCTTTTCTTGGTCCTTTTCTTTTCTCGGTAAATCTTTTTCTTCCAAAAGTAATACATACTTGTGTTCCAATATTTCCTTTGCTTGTCCTATGATATTTTCATACGCATCACACAACTCACAGCGATATTTCATGGGTATACAGAAACTAATGTTAAACTCTGTGTTAAAATTTTTAAAACATCACTAAATTTGCATGCGGTAGATTGTTTTTCTGGCAATTTTGTTTATGATCAAATATTTTAGTTAAATTTTTTCCACCTTCGATGTATTCCCTATTGGTTTGCTTGGAAAAATGGTGGCTCTCAATACGAGGAATCTATAGAATGTGCTCACAAACTCCGTCTTTAAGGTTTTTGTGTTTACCTCTTAAGTCTACTTCCACTAACCCTTTTTAAGCTTTGTCAACGACCGTTCTTGTAATTCGATTGTTGATATTTAGCCTAGCCATAAAAAAGTATTTGCATACGCGAACTTGATTATTATTATTTATATGATAATAGTATGCATTATTATGTTGTCTAGGCCTCTCTGCACTGCTGTATCTGTACGCTGGTTTGAGGGATTTCATACATTTGTGAATTTAATCCCCCTGTTTATTTTTATTTTCCAGGAAACAATATTTTTTAAAAATATCTTTCCTGGTATTTTCATCTATTTTGTTAGAGCATTTTAGCTGGCATTTATCTGCACTATACTGCACTGATACTCCAGGCAACAATACTTTTTTGTTATTTAGATCTTGAGGTGTATGCTTGGCCAGAGTTTTGTAATTTCTTGAATTTGTTACTTAACCAGCTTTCTGCCACTGCTACTCGCTTTTTCCCATTTTTTTAGGAATGGCAATTTTGGTGTCTGCTGGATGAGTGTTTGCTGGTTGGGTATCTGCGAGTTGAGTATCTGGTACTTCAGGTCCTGATCCTTGTAAGTTTTCCACTAGAGTGTCTGCAACTTAAACCTCTGGTACTTGAATTCTTGCTGCTAGAGTATTTACTGCTTGAAAGTCCGCAAGTGGAGTGTCAGCTAACTGGCGTACATTCTGTGAATTCGACAAGAAACTATTGCAATCTGGACTATAAGTACTGCTTTAACTAGAAATATCACTTGATGTCGAAGAGGAGGGCTAACTAGAGCTATTGGAATATGATTCATAGTTTGGATCTTTTATGGAATCATCATCATTATCGCTTACGAAATCCGAGATTTGTATCCTTATTACAACCTGTAATAATGATGTATCGGACTTATTATTATCGTTATCCGTAGGTATAACATAGTTTGTATTATCAAAAAAAAAACAAGTGCAGCATTTTCCTCTTCTAAAAGATGTCTTTCTGAGATTTCCTAAAAGAAGAAACATTATTATAGCTTAAATAAAAACTTTAGGCACGCCATTTTTTTATTATTCAATATTAAATTACCTGAGTTTCGCACTTTATCTGGTGCATAACACTCTGATTTTATTTTCTTTGCAAGGGTCATAATTGTACTTATCCTTGAACTCGATGAACTTTGCATGTTATGAAACCAGATTGTTTGCTGCAACAAAAATATTAATAAATAAAATCAAGGAAGGATAACACATAGTCATAAACAAGAAAATAATAGTCAATAATTCTGAAATAGCGTCATAATTAAGAAAGAAACGTCAGTGGATTTGAAAATCGTATGTACCTACTGGTTCTGCAAAACAATGATATTCCAAAAACAGTTTGAAAAAATATACTTACATATCCAGAAAATTGGCTAAACTCAAAATGTAATACTCTTCCGCACCATGCAAAAGTACTTTCCTCGTTTACAACTTTGAAAAAACCGTCACAACACAAAAAAGAACAGTATTTTACTTATTGCAAGAATCAGATATAACAAATAATTCACACAAAAACTGTTACGATTCTAAATGTGGCCCTTTTCAGGATTAAGCACTATGTGTAGACTGTTATCAAGTCAAAGGTGACACTGTAGCGGAATGTATGCTGAGCGAACCTGTAAAAAACAAATGTGTCACATCGCCATCTCGCGGTAAATAGTTCAAATATAAAAATGACGCTTTTATGGTAGAAAGTGCAACTTATTTTAATACTTGTAGCATGGTCATCTTGATGGGGTAACACAAGATGCGGAGACGATCGGATTCGGCAACTGGAAAATTCAAGCAAGGGACAGAACAGAATGGCGTAGAAAGCTTGAGAAGGTCGAGGCCCTCTAAGGGCTGTAGCACCAAGATGATGATGATGATGATGGTCATCTTGATAATGGAAAAGGGACACAATTTTACTGAAAAAGCATAGATAATTCTTTAAAATGAGAGCTATTTACTATTTTTGTTAATTTGTTGCTTAATTATTCCAAAAATAGCTTAAAAAGTCGATTTTTAAAAAATACCTTTTACAAAAATGCACAAAAAACTTTAATTTTGCATGATATTAGATACAGTATGACATCTATTCAGCTACAAAAGTATCAAGAAGTTTCAGTTAATAGTTATTGCAAAATAAATTGTTTATCCCAAAAGCTTCATCAACAACGTTGTTACGCGTTAATTATTAGATCTACAAAACCAAATTGAAGAGAATCAATTTATCAAATTAAATTATTTAACGATTAAAACAATTATGTTAAATATTGTAAAACAAGTACTGTGATTTTAAACTTATAAACATTTAAAATGTAAAATGCAGGGCTCAAGACCATAAGGAAGTCCCGCAAAATGTGGGGGATGCAGTAACAGAGGACACGCAAAATTTGCTTAATGTTTTAAACAAATTACTTGGTTAAATAAGTAATTTACAAATAAAATAAATGCGTTGTTATATTCTATGTCACAAGGTATCTAAAATTTAAAAAAAAGTCAATTTTTGCGATAAACAAAATCGCATAAAGTCAGAATCAATTTTTTTAATCATCTAAAGCTCCAGGTTCCATTGAAGTTGGTAAATTATTCCAAAACGTTTGTCTGCTTTTAGGCATGTGTCCACACAGTTTGGATATAATTGGTTGATTTCTTTCAGTCGTTATACCTCTAGGAATGGACTTGGGTGAAAGTTTTACCATTCCATTTTGCAATCGTTGCATTTACAATGTTCACTTCACTTTCTGAGGTGAAGCTGGTTTTGTACGAAAAAATATAATAAAAGTATATTTACCTCTAGAAAAATTAACTTGGACCTTTTGATTTAGGTATGGCCTGGGATTAGTTTTATTCAGTTTATATGCAGAAGTACCATCTTGCCATTTAAAAAAGTCAGCTAATTCCATAACAATTACTTTAGCATTATTTGCTGCATTTGCTACTGCATCCGAAAAGTCTATAAAATTGTATATTTTAGCCATTTGCTTCATGGAGCGTTCCACTTGGTGGTGGAATGAGTCCGCAGCCATGAAGGTATGGTCAGGCTCAAAATACTTAATACTTAATTTTTTAACTTTAGTTAGAGTTTACAATAAACGTAAAGAAATTAAACAAAGCCCAGTTTTTATTATGAGCAGAGCAATTGTCAAGCCACATTACAACATGTTTAGTGTCTCGGCGAGACAAAAAACATTTCTAGAATGTGCTGGCAATATCCGACTTACTCCGTCTGGCTATTCCTTCGTGCCATAAAATTGCTGTTGGTACTGTTGGCTTTCTAGCAGTGATGACAAAACTTTAATTAAAAGCAAGTATTCTAGGTGTCAAAATAATCTCCTTCAACATATCATTTCTCGAAAGCATTATGACCCAGAATATCACAACAAAATAAAACATTTTTAATTAATATAATATTTTATTACCTTTTGCAAATCCGCTGAAACTATCATTGATGTATCGTCCCAGTTACTTTTTGCAGACGAGTCAGTTTGATATTCTGATCTAGCAGCAGTGTATTTATTTTAATGTACACCAAAGTTGCAACAACTTCTCGACATAAATAATACGGAAACTTGATATTTGGATATTTTTCAATAAAATTCTGGTACATCATTTTTATTGTGATGTCACTGGTAAGCTAACGTAGTTCTGGTGCGTGTTCCCGACGGTAGTGTAGTTCTGTCGGTTTAAAAGGTTCTATATGTTCTTTAATAATATTTCGATCTATTTTAATTTTCTCTGTCTTTCCTTGTTTATTCCTGTTGACCGTCACTTTTGAATTTGTTTTAAGGGCATCTCTAATAACTCTGTAATTTTTCTGTTCATATCCCAGGCAGCGTTCTCATAAAAAATATTTTGCAGACACTTTGTTTGCATCCGTCATTGTCTTTAAGAAAATATAAAAAAACCTTTAGACCTTCTAGACACAACACTAGCTGTGGTTTTCTGTTCGTCGTTTTGAAATTTCCATAATTCTCCATTTATTTCTGTTCGTCTCGCTTCTGTAATTTTTTCGTAACATCTTCTCTTGCAAAAGTTTCGCACCGTGCTTAGCAGCTGTGGCTGTTAATTTTCTTTTTTTTTCTCATTGCTAGCCCCTCTTTAAAATCTTTTCGTTAACGGATTTTCTGTTTTATTTAAATTGTCTTTTTCCACCCTTTCAACAGATCATCATTTTGGCTTTACAACCCTGTGTGGGTCCTAGCATCCCCAAGAATTCTCTTCCAGTTTTCCCTATCCATCGCCTTCCTCCGCCAAGCACGTATTTCCATATTTCTCATATCTTGGTCTATGTTATCTAGGAATCTTGTTCTGGGTCTTCTTCTTCTTCTTTGACCAATAGGTCTATCAAGGAGCGTTTTTCTAGCTGGGTCGGTTTGCTCCATCCGCATTACATGGCCTACCCACCTCAGACGTCCTATCTTAATGTGTTTTACGATATCTGGTTCCTGCTATATTCTATTATATTCCTTTCAACAGATACATATATTATATATACTAAGATTTCTTGAATAAAAGGGAGACAGTCTTCCTTACCTTCTTCTTCGCCTTTGGAATCAGATTCTTCAGGAACAACATTCGCAGCTCTCAAAGCTATATCAATCTTCACTTTATTTAAACCTTTTCTGTTTAATTTCGGTTCCTTTATTTCTTTCGTCTCTGAATCTGGCAAAATAAAATCAGGGTCATTATCATATTGAAATTTAGGTTTCTTCGCGACTCGTCGTTGTAAACTATGTATTTTCACCCTTTGTTGGTTATTTAAAATATGCAGCATTTTAAATGCTCTGCTATTTCTGTCCATTGTTACTGGTTCAGTTAATAAACTTTAATGTAAACACACTTAAAAACACTATAACAATAAGATTAATACTAGTAAATAACTGTCAAATTTTTAGGTTAAGAAACTAAAAAGGCGGGAACACTATGAATAATTAGGTTAGACCTTCCTGTTGTTAGAATATTTTGTCGAAACTACACAATTGTTAAGCAAATTTGTCATAACTACATATCGTCTTGTGAAGATACAACTAAAAATGTTAACAAATGGAGATTCGTCAAATTGGCTTAACATAAACTGTAAAAATGCAGATCTGACAAAATTTTAAAGTAGAATAACTTATTTTTAGACAGCAGATAAGACTTTCATTTTTAACATATAGGTAGATTATTTGGCTATCAATGTGTTGGCGTTATAATATAAAAAACTCAAAATTGCAGATACGACTTCTATTCTTAACAGGGCAGAGATGCGCTCTTCTACATCTCCAACCACATATTACACGAAGACTTTAATATAACTTGACTTCATCAATTTAATAAAGAGCCTTAAAGCACTGTAGTTATTTAATTTGCAACAATATTGCAACATATTTTGATTAGTAATAAATGTATTATTAAAAAATAATTACCTACTAGATAAATCTAATAAAATCTCAACTAACTACTAGTAACTAAATAATAATAGATTAGATAAATCTCAATTGCGGATAGAAATAAAAATATGTATTAAACAATAATTGAAAACGAGTTTGTTATTGTAAATTAGTAACAGTACTTACGCACGGAAGTGCAATTATTGCACTTTCAATTGTTATATTAACAGAAATGATGTCATTAGAGACAAAATAAGTCAATCAATCTTTTGTTTATAATTACAGACTGTCAAGACAATTGCAAATAAACTTCGAATTAACAACACATTAAGTTGTGTATTATTAGCAATGATATGAGGTCGCAACAATAAAAAATATATATTCAAAGAATCTTTTTTGCCATTTACTCTTGGCTCCCTGCTGATCAATCAAACAGCGTAAAGCGTTTGCAGCAGGGACAAATTTAAGTAAGATTGTGTTTAGAGCTAATCTCTATAAAGCGAGCTGGTACATCTTTTTTTAACAATCTGAATATGCAGGAATCCATATCGGTTGCACAAGTACTTTCCTGAGATACTTGAATGCCAGCACTTTTTGACTATCCAAGCAAAAACAATTCTACAGCATTATCCTAAAGAATATTGTCCTCAAATTCACTTTATTGTGTTTTTATTATATTACCTGGTAGAATTAACGATAAAAGTCGTAACTGACACTATTGATGGCTGAAAATCATGGCATCTCTTTCATGG